TTAATTAAATGGAGAAATTAAATATTTAATTAAACATTAAAATGAAAAATGAATCACTGTGTGAAGTTAAAATATTTCATATTTAAATGCTTTTGAGGAGAAACCACAATGGTGGCATAGGTAAACACCTACATTTCTGCCTCGCACAACAATTTCAAAACTGCAATTAAAATTCAAAATGTCTATCATCCATAACCCTGGGAAAGCTAGCCGAGTGGAATTTCTACAACTAGAAGGAAAGAGAAAAGAGCATTGAGAGGTGCACAAGTGCTGAAAAGCTGAGGTATGGAGGTGTGCGAATCAGGTTGATGGTGGGCAATTGGACGTGCTGCTTTTCAAAAGGAGATAAGCTCCCAATTACTTTAAAATCCAGTTTCTGGGGAGATGGTGGGGACCCAGACTCCTATGGGTAGAAGCAGAACTGTCGGCCATGGGGTCGGAAAGTGAGGGTGACTTTTTTGCAAAGGTGTGCCCAGCAATCATTGTTTACTGTGCTGGGGAGCGGGATGCGGTGACTTGGAAATGTGGAAACACACAGAAGGCTGACTGGCAGCCAGAGCTGTTTGACATACCCTAGCCTAGTGATGCCCGGATACTCCGCCCCCCCACAATCTACAAACCCACCCAAGCTCTGAGCAGCAGCTTTGGCATATAAATGGCTTGCCCTATCGCAGCTTAACCAAACAAACTGCAGCTCTGGACACACAGCTCTAAAACGTCCAAATATTTCCATATATACATGCTAACACACAAACATACACTCACATGTGTTTATTCACTTAAATATGTACCATTATTTGGGCATTAATAGTGGAAAGTTCTCTTTTCCTTCTCCCCATAGAGATTAGCTTGATCCCCACATCAACACCTGTATCTATGATTCTTTGAATTAGCCTCTTGGGACACATAACACACATTTTCATTTAAAGGCTCAGTTCAATAGAACAGAAAACAAGGACGTTAGAGATTGGCAGCTACGCATGTACATTTATTCTAAAATTATGATTATTTTGACCAAGATCCTGAACATCTGGACCAGATTGCATTCAGCTCACTGTTTTGTTATCCTGAAACTAAGGTATTTAAAGCATACAAAAGAGAGGTTCATCGCCACATTTTGATAAGATAAAATGGAGAGGGGATTTGAATGTATACCAAATGCTTTTTTTTTTCCTTCAGAAATAAATTCTTTATTTCAGTCACACAATTTGAAGGCAGATATGTGTAAAATTGAGTGTTCCTGGAAAACATGTGCTTTCCAAAATATGGTACCTATTGCAGTCTACTATCATACTGATCTTGACTGTATTATTTCTCTATTCAAACAGGAATCTTTATTTCAGTAGTGGTAAAAATCATGACAAAGGAGAAATAGGAGAAAAGAAAATAGTTTTTGATTATTAGAGCAGTCTTCAGATTATCTTCGCTTCTTACCGGTCTCTACCTTATTCCTCAAAATTATAGTGCAGTCTCCCTTGATTATTTTCTGGAGAGACAGAGCTGTAACTCTAAGGTTGTAAGGCATGAAGAGAGGTCCTGGAAGAGCATACTTACTAACATATTCAACCGTGTTTACTTTCTATTTCCAAATCAAATTACTTTGGAAAATCTGAGCTGTGCTCTCTTGCTGTCACTTTATGCTGTAGAATTTTCCTTATACACTATCAGATGATGATTTTAAAATAGTCAATTTTATTAATGAAGGGTAGAAAGACCATTTCTTCTGATGGAACACAGAACACATTTAGTGGCATTCAATTTATTTCTATGATGTTAATTTTTGTAAGCAAGCCTCAATCACTGTTGGTCTGAGAATACACAAAATTTTAATTTTAACTTATTTCAATATGTCACTTTCATGGTAGCATTTTTGGGTCCTGTTTTAAAATATTTGCCTATTCCAAAAATCAAAGAGAATGTGCTTTTTTGTATTTTATCTTTAGTTCAATATTTTTCTAAAATTGTTTTTGTATATGATATGATTTAGAGAACAAAATATGTTTCTTTTTTTCACATATATTCATTGGCTCAGTAATACTTATTGAAAATAACATTTTTTCCCTCCACAATCTGCAGTGTTCTTTTTATCATTGATTAATGGTTTAATGTGCATATCAATATTTGGTTTCAGAGTCCTGTATTTCTTGCAAAAGCATTTTCATCCATATTTAAAAGGATGGACAATCTGTTTTTTAAGGAGGTAACATAGATATTCCATATGCTTATTTTAGGAATTGAAAAATGAGGTTAAGATCCATGTATTTCATTAAGATACTACTTTTTTTGAACTTCTGATCTTAGATAATTTGAGAGGCCAAAAAACACTCAAAGGTGTTAAGTGAATTAAAAAATCAGTTATTAAATTTAGATGTTCTAACAAATTGGTGGCATTACCACCACATTATTTGAAAATGCTTTTATGGAAAATCAGATACACCATTTTCTGTTTTGGGTAACTGTAGGAGTGTTGGTAAGGTGTTCAATGGAAGCCAGTTGGGTTGCGTGGGAAACTTGGTCATAGAGTTCCTTTCATGCTAGTGGGCAGAAAACCTACATAAAATTTCTTGTTGCTGTGCTTTCTAAAGGATTATCTGCCTTTCTAATATGCCTGAATTTAACATGAATTCTTATTTTGCTCCCTGTTGGGCAGAGACTACAATATCTCAGAGTTTCTCCCTTCCCTTTTTTTACCCTCACTTCTCTGGGTAGGGGTAGGGGTGGAGGATATTTTCCTTGAGGGTAGAAAGAGGATTCTGACTTCACTGTTAAGCACCATAAAGTTAACTTATGCCCCTCTGGACTCTTGTGAATATATTCTCTATTACCAAGAAATTTTCTATTATTTGATAATTACAAGATTCTTTATGATTTAGCTCCTGGCCAAATGTTTAGCTCATGACTTTCTCCCACCACGCCAGTGAATTCTCACACACTTGATTGTTTTGATTTTCATATTTTTACATGTTGATTCTTCTCCCTGGAAATCCTTTTTACAAATGAGTATCCTTATAATTTGTCTTTCTTCAAAATAGGTATCAAACCCTATTTCTTTAACATAGTCAATAGTCTGGTGCTCACTAAGGGGTTTTGTCCAGACTTCTGTTTTAGTTCTTGTTACATTTACTGTGATTGTTTGTATGTATCTTGGTCTCTATACTAAATTCTGAACATCTTAAAAGATGAAATGTGTCCCCATACTGTCACATTGTAGGTATTCAATAAATATTTCTGGGAAACAAAGATATTAATAAAAGAATGAGATGCCATTTCTTTGCCCCAATTATTTAGTTAACTTGAAAATAAGATTTTGGTGTAAGTGCAGAATTTTGGATTAATTAATTTTTCTTTTGAATAAGAAATGAATTTAATGTGTGGTTAGAAGTAAAAATATGAAATTAAATTTCTATTGACTCCCGCTGGAACCCAATTAAAATAGTTTCCATTGTTAAACTTAAAAGGTCAGACAGAATAAGAAAGAAAATAATAAACGCTGAAGATAACATATTATTGAATGATAAATATTACTGGAGAAACTATCTTAATTGAGGCAAAGTAAGCCGATCTTATTAGTAAGGTATAATAATACCATGCAACTTTTTGTTTGTATGTTTTTGTATTTGCCACAGATACCAGATGATCTGAGAAAGCAATGCCTAAAGATAAAATAGAATATTTCTTACAAGACAGAAGGAAAGAAATAATTTGTTACTATTGATAGATTTATTATCTGAAGCAATGTTAGCTATTTTCAGTTATTACTATATATATTTTTCTGAATAAAAACATAAAAGCTTTTCTATAAATCTATCAAGATAAGGTATATTGAAAAAAGGAGGTCTTAAAAGTGAGAAGACTTCCCTAGGTGATTTGGTTCAATGGATAGAGCATCAGCCTGAGGACTGAAGGGTCTCGGGTTCAATTCTGGTCAAAGGCACATGCCCAGGTTGGCAGGCTCAATCCCCAGTGCAGATGCATAGGAGGCAGCCTATTAATGATTCTCTCTTATCATTGATGTTTTTATTTCTCTCTCTTCCTCTCTGAAATCAATAAAACATATATTAAAGATAGATAAAGACTCTTTAAACAACAACAATATTATTTTACAAAGTGATAAGACTGAATACAAAATTTTACCAAATTGTGAAACATCAAGACCAATAGAAGAATAAATAATTCAATATTTTCAAATACTTACAACAGTACCTTAGTAATAAAATATAATTATCATCCATTAATTATCAATAAGAATAAAATTGCAATCATCTGTTGGGTCATTGATAAGGAGATCAAAAAATCTTTTTCAAGGACATATCAATAGGGAGATGCATATAGTTTTAATAGTTAAGTAAGGTATCCTAACAAAGATTCCTTTATAGAAATCATACAGAATTATACTTTGTTGTTAATCCTCAGTGGACGATATTTTTTCCCCTTCATTTTTTTTTTTTAGAAACTGTAGAAAGGAGGGAGGAAGGGGGAGAGACAGAGAAAAACATCGATGTTGACCTGATACATTGCTTGCTTGCTTCCCACTAGCGCCCAGACATGGGTGAGGGATCAAATCTGCAACCACTTACATTCCTTTGACTAGAAATAGAACCCATGAGACTTTGGTACACAAGTCACATTATAACCACTGAGATACACTGGCCTAGGCCAGAGATACACTTTAATATAAATATCTGAGGATGAGAAACTCTTTTTTTTTTTTTTTTAAGATATTGAAGAAAATGTATTGCCTATAATGAGAACTTGGATTACCTGATAAAAATTGGTTGAATGAACAGAAGAACTGATCAACAAATAAGCAACAAACAAACAAACAAACAAAAAAGCTACTCCCTGGCACTTAGAAAGCATGGTTGTGTGATCATTAAAATGAACTAGAAAATTTTAAACATAAGGTGAAAGTTATATAGTAACCATAAATTATGTTTTCTCTTTTCTTTTTCTTTCTCTAGGAAAAAAAAAAAACACATAAATTTTAAGCCTAATTGATCATGTTAAAGCTGAATAAAACAAACCTGCACCCAACCTCATTTATTCTTAATGGAATCCCAGGACTTGAAGACATACAAATATGGATTTCCTTCCCATTCTGCTCAATGTATGTCATGGCTATGATGGGGAATTGTGGGCTCCTCTACCTCATCCGCTATGAAGACTCACTGCACAAGCCCATGTACTATTTCTTGGCTATGCTTTCCCTTACTGACCTTGTCATATGTTCTAGTACAATCCCTAAAGCGCTCTGCATCTTTTGGTTTCATCTTACGAAAATTGGCTTTGATGAATGCCTGGTCCAGATGTTCTTTACCCACACCTTCACAGGAATGGAATCTGGGGTGCTTATGCTTATGGCCTTGGACCGCTATGTAGCCATCTGTAACCCTCTGCGCTACTCAACTATCTTCACCAATCCTGTTATTGCAAAGGGTGGGCTTGTTACTTTCCTGAGAGGAGTATTGCTTGTTATTCCTTTTACTTTCCTCACCAAGCGCCTTCCCTACTGCAGAGGCAATATAATATACCACACTTTCTGTGACCACATGTCTGTAGCCAAGTTATCCTGTGGCAATGTCAAGATCAATGCCATCTATGGTCTGATGGTTGCCCTTCTGATTGGAGGTTTTGACATCCTGTGCATTACAATCTCCTACACCATGATTCTCCGGGCTGTGGTCAGCCTCTCCTCAGCAGATGCTCAACAGAAGGCCTTCAGTACCTGCACTGCCCACATCTGTGCCATTGTTTTCTCCTACAGTCCAGCTTTCTTTTCCTTCTTTTCCCACCGCTTTGGGGGTCATACAATACCGCCATCTTGCCACATCATTATGGCCAATATTTATGTGCTCCTGCCTCCCACTATGAATCCTATTGTCTATGGGGTAAAAACCAAGCAGATACGAGACTGTATCATTAGGATCCTTTCAGGTTCTAAAAACATCAAATCCCATAGCATATTAAAGAGATAATTTTCAGGAGAGCAGAGGGCTCCAATTTAGACAGGAGCCAATAAAATATTTTGAGAAGTACTACTTTTACCACGGAAATGAAGCATGTTGAATGGTGCATTTCTAAATACATATTGAGAATTTCAACATCACTGGCCAGCCCACCAACCTTTCTGTGAATTATTTTTTGTTTCTCACTCCATTGAAATATTAGTCTAATAATTAACTCACATTCCTTGGACAAAATGAATTTATTAATTAATTACTAAAAACTAGAGGCCCAGTTCATGAAATTTGTACATGGGTAGGGTCCCTAGGCCTTGCCAGCGATCAGGGTCAATGAGAACCTTCCAGTTGCTGCCTGGAGCCTTCATTCTGGCTGCCAACTGAAGTCTCCCTTTGTTCCGTGTTGCCTTCTGGTGGTCAGTGCATGTCATAACAAGCAATCAAACTTCCAGTCTCCAGGTTGAGCTCCTGAGAGGATGCTTTGCATATTTGTCTTTTATATATATGTATATAGTTAAGCAAAGTGGAAGGAGATGATTTAATTTCCAAATAGTGATTACAATTGACTGAGAAACAATTGTTACTTTCCTCTGGAAAATATTGGCTATATATTTTTAATCAGTATCAAAATACCTTTTTCAATCACTTCTTTCTAAAAGAGAAACAAGCAGGACTCCTACAAAGCCATTAACATAATCAGTTTGAAATCTCTAGACATATTATTATTATTATTATTATTATTACTATTATTAGGCTGAATAGGTCTCCCCTTTCCAGATCAGGCATATTATTTTCCTACAAACTAATATGATATTCAATTTCCTTCCAGAGGGTCTTTGAAAGCATATAATCTGGAGGGTGAGGTTAATAGATCTCTTCAACAAATGTGAAAACTATCTATACTAATGAAAGCCCTCCACATGTCCTTCTGGACAAACTCATGGTAGAGGCCTAGGCAGAGGCAGTTAGGGGCCATCAGGCAGGCAGTGGAGCAGTTAGGGGTAATCAGTCTGGCCAGGGAACAAGCAGTTAAAGGTAATCAGGCCAGCAGGGGAGAAGTTAAGGTTGATCAATCAGGTCAGTACATGGAGCCATTAGGGGCAATCAGGTAGGCAGGCAGATGTGGTTAAGGGCAATCAGGCAGGCAGGCAGTTAGGCAAGCAATTAGGAGCCAGCAACCCGGTTTGCAAGAGGGATGTCCGACTGCTTGTTTAGGCCCTGGCCTCTAGCTTTATATATAAAACCATGAGTGGGGACTTGTTTCCAAATTGACTTGGTTCATCTTATCTCCACTTGTGAATCTAATAAATAATGTCTTTCTAATATGTGAGATTTTTCTAAACAAATAAAAAAAAAGTAAAAGACTAAAGGAAATGGCACTTTTACATTATTGTCTTATGATCTAAACCAATTACATAAGAAGTATAGCAGTAAGTGAATTTTTATTTGTATTTTTCTCTGTCAAACATAAAATAGCACACATTATCGCTCCCCAATTCAGTTAGTTATCCTCATCAAATTTTATTTAATTATTTAATTAGTCTTTACTTACTATCCCACATTTTAAAAAAAATACATTTTATTGATTTTTTACAGAGAGGAAGGGAGAGAGATAGAGAGTTAAAAAACATCGATGAGAGAGAAACATTGATTAGCTGCCTCCTGCACACCTCCCACTGGGGATGTGCCCACAACCAAGGTACATGCCCTTGACCGAAATCGAACCTGGGACCTTTCAGTTCGCAGGCCGACGCTCTATCCACTGAGCCAAGCCGGCACTATCCCACATCTTAAATCCTACAAATAATCTCACCCCCTAATATATAATTACTTTCTATGTGTTACCCTATTTCTGTGTTCACCTTTAACTCAAAATTTCTAAAGTAAGAGTTGGTTCCTAAACGGGTTTCTGTGCATGGAGAAACAAAAAGAAGAGGCAGACAATTCAGTACTGGTAAGGCAGTATGTTCAATAACAGGAGAATTTAAATACAAGGCTTGTCTTGGGTGACTGAAAGACAAATAGATCTGCATACCCTCCCACAAGAATTTTAAAAGTTACACAGAGGCTTTAACTGGGTTCAGTCAGCTAGGTCAGGCAAACTCATTAGTCAACAGAGAGGCAACCCCCTCTCCAGTACATGACTTTTCATGCACCCGGCCTCTAGTAAATAAATAAAAGAAAAAATGGTTAGATTTGTGAAGAAATGGATTGATCCTGTATGTACACGTTTTCAACATGTGCCCCACAAAGTCTTACAGAAAAAGAAACAACTTTGCAATAAATGTTACAATTTCTAATATTAATTTTTAAAAGTTTGCTTTCATTCTTTTTTAAATTTTTATTTATTTATTTGAGAGACAGAGAAGATAGAGAGAAAGAAACATCAGTTTGTTGTTCCATCTCTTTATGCATTCATGGGTTGATTGTTGTTACGTACCCTTTTTATGTATAGAATTCTTAACCTCGGCGCATCAAAACAATGCTCTAAGCAAGTGAATTCTCCACATAAATGCATGTTCACACTCAAACACACAACATTAAAATCACTTACTTATTTATTTATTAGGCCATAGGAGTAAGAAAGGAAAGTTTTTATCTCTCTTAGGGTAGGAGTTAGCTTCATTCCCACAACAGTGCCTGTGTCTCTTATGTGCTGAAATATTCCCGTGAGATATATAACACACATTTTTTATTTAAATGCTTAGTTTAATAGTAGAAATATCAAGGGATTTAGAGGTTGAGGGCTGTATGTGTACATAAAAATAAACTCATGTAGAATCATGATGATTTTTTTTTTTTAACCAAGATCCTGAGCACCTGGAACAGATTACCTCCAACTTATTATTTTGAAAACCAGAAACCAAAGTATTAAAGGACTCTATTTTGTGGAACTAGAAACAAAGTGTTTTGTTTTTTTAATTTTATTGGTAGTGCAATCAAGAGAAGAGTGTGTTTAGATGAATACTATCGATAATTGATTATTATATTCTTAGAAATACAGGTTTGATTCCATCCACCAATTTGAGGACAGTAGTGTTGTGAAAACTTAGTTGATTTTTTTTTGGGGGGGGGAGGGTGTTCATTTCCATGTTCAGTGTAAGTTTTGATTATGATTATAAATAAGTTACTTTCCTAATCAAACTGAATCACTGGTTCTGTTGTAATGGAAGTCAGATACAAATCACCCCCATAGTTCTCCATCACGGTCAGAAAACTCTTGCTTTTTATCTACTCTCCCATTGTCTCTAAATAAGATTCTAGTTTACTTGCTTCATGTCTGGAGAGACTTATCTGTGACTGTTTCCTCCACTTTAGAAGCAAAACTTAGTTGGAGGAACTCAATATCATATTGAGAAGAAAACATGGATAATAAAATTGAGGATTATCCAATGAGAAAGCAAATTTATTCTCTATGGGTTTGGGGAAAGAGAATAGACAACAGATGACAGAAATTTATATTTTCTGGTGATTTCTGAAGTAGGTAACTTTTGTGTCTAAAATGAAGTTCTGTTTTATCTGGTGGTTTAAGTGTGAAATTTTATTAATTTACTCATTAATCTCTTTATTCATTCAAAAATATTTATCAGCATATACTAATAAAATGTGTCTGGGGGCTTGCTAGATACTAGATATATCTATAAATACAATCTAAAAAATTTAGAGGTTTTAATATTAAGGGTGATTCAAGAATATAATAATAAAAGCATATATGCTAATTAGACTGGACGTCCTTCAGGATATTTTTGCAGATGACCTTCCAGGCGAAGCCGCAGCTGCCAGAGAAGCCTGAGTCCCGTGTGCCAGAGGGAAGCCTGTGCCAGCAGTTGGGGGAAGGAAGGCCCACTCTTGCACGAATGTCATGCATGGGGCCTCTAGTAAATAAATATTTATAATTCATGATATTAAATGATAAAAGAGATTGATTATGTCAGAACTTCCCAGAAATAGACAGATGGTATGGGAAAGACTAGTAATAATAGATTGTATTTAATTGTCAAGAAATAATAGTAAAACATTTTATAATTCTGAAAATCAGTTAAAATTTTTTGATATAGCTACAACAGATGCTAAACAAAATAAACAAAATTATTATCAAAAGGAAAAATATTAATAGGGAAAACATATAAATGTCATTTCATGTGACTTATCAGGGATAATACCAATATATAATAAAAATAAAACACTAGGCAATAATTTTAATAAAACAACTTAAAAGGAAAAAGGAAGTAAAAGTCTAGACAACTTATTTTAAAATGAAAGAGTCAAATGCTAATTACCTGTGGGAAGGTAGAATTTGACAGTCGAATGATAGAGTTGGATTATTTTTTTATTTTTGTTATTACCCTATAGTACTACTTCTTTCTAACACACATTTCTATGACAAAATTGAAAAGAAATAATTAAAATGAGGTGGTCAGAGAAGGGCTTAGTGTTGGTATTAAATGTACAGCCATTCAGACATAAAGCAGCCTTGTCTCCTTAGGGTCTTCATTTACTCAACAATAAGATGCAAATTTATAAATGTAATTCCTAAGTTTGTGATGAGTATTAAATGAATAATTTTTGTCAACTTCCTCAAAGAGTATTTGATATATGAATATGAATCATTAAGAGTTATAACTTAGTAAGGATTGTATCTATGTCCTTAGTTTCAAAATAATGCAGACAATATATGTGTTTGAGCCTGGGACATAGTGGATGGTAAATATGTATTTGTCTAATGACTTGGTAAATTAATGAATTAACAATCAAAACCTACTTGGTTTTAACTTGTTTAAGTAAATATTTTCTTGTATTTAAACTATTTGTTTGACATTAAAATGCAAAATTGACAGAGAGAGAAAAAGGGAGAGTGAGAGAAAGAACAGAACTAAAATTGTGTTTTGTTTTGTGTTTTTTTTCTTATCCTGGAGGATTGGAAAACAAAATATAAACTAATAAACACAGAGAAACTATAAGCTGCTTAATGTTTCTAACAACCTAATGCTGCTAATGCTGAACTAAACAGACTT